AGGCCCAGAACCTCCAGACCCAGAACCCCCGAGACTCCGAACTCTGCAGCTCAGCACCACGAGGCTCCACACCCCCAAGCTCAGCACCCCCAAGCTCCACACCCCCAGGCTCGACACCCCCAGGCTCCACACCCCCAGGCTCCACACCCCCAGGCTCCACACGTCCAGGCTCAGCACCCCCAGGCTCAGCACCCTCAGCAGGACGAGAGTCGACAGCTACCTCAACAGGCTCAACCAGGTCTACCTGAGACACACCTGAGGGAGCGGCACCCTGAGGGGGGAGGGGGTCTGCAACAGCAGCACCTGGCGCGAGGAAGAGAGGCGGGGGGGGGGGGAGCGGGGCAATGCGGTAGGGGAAGAGGCGGTAGTAGGGGACGGACTCGTCAAAAGTGACGTCCTGGGAGGGCAAGTCTCGTCGCAAGGTGGCGTGGTAAAACTGCCAACCAGACGCGTCCGGGATAAAGCCGAGGAAGACGCAGGGAACAGCACGGGAGGAGAGCTTGTCCGCAGACGTACCGCGGACAAAAGCTCGAGACCCCCAGACCCGGAAACGCGACGCATCGCCAACCTCCCCCGTCCACAGCAGCGTGGGCGAGGTCTCCGGCAAGGAGACACGGGGCCAGAGGTTGAGCTGATGCGCAGCGTACCGGACCGCAAACGGCCACAGAAAGTGGGGGGCAGCCGCATGGATCAAGGAGGTACGGGCGACCTCCATGACCAGGCCAATGCGGCGCTCCGCAACCCCATTCTGCTGTGGAGAGGCCGGAAGCGTGAACGACTGCTCAATGCCGTGCTCAGCACAGTAGGCTGCCAAGAGGTCGGAGGAGAACTCACCACCTCTGTCAGAGTGCAAGCGCAGGACAGGAAAGTCAGAGTGAAAACGCTCGCTGAGCTGGAGACGGGCTCTGCGGATCCAAGGGATCAAGACATCAGGGACCTCACCCTTGGTGCGCAAGGGGAAGACCGAGGTGTAGCGAGAGTAGTCGTCAACAACTATCAGGAAGTACCTCTCCTGACCCTGACCACGGACGCGGGCTGGGCCCCACACGTCCATGTGGAGCGTCTGCAAGGGAGCAGTCGTCAGGGGAAACGAGGAGGAGTGAGCAGCGGCGCGCTGCCGTCCCTCGACACAAGGGAGACAAGTAGGAGCAGGTGAGGGTGGGAGGGGAGGAAGGACCCTGGGCAGGCCAAAGACAAGGTACCGGGAGTGCATGGCACGAAGCTGCTGCACAGACGGGTGGCCAAGGCGGTGGTGCCAGAGGACAGTCTCGTGTGCCAGAGAGCGACACGAGCAGGGGGCCTACAGCTGACCTGACGCGGACGCAGATGCAGCAACCTGAGGGGACTCAGTAGTCAGTGTGTACAGGTCCGACCCCGGCTGCCGAGTGAAGGTAGCCAAGTGACGGCCCGTACGAGCACACGTAGAGTGTGTCACGCGCTCGTAGGCAGGGGTGAACTGGTGAACACCCCCGTCCTGGAGTGCACATCCTGCCACCAAGTTCGTAGAGAACGAGGGGAGGTGGAGACCTGACAGTGTGCCCGACGGGACCGCAGGGCAGGGAAGGACAGTCGAAGAGGTCGCAATGACCGGACCCCCAGAGGGGTCAGCAAGGGAGACAGCAACTGGCCGAGCAAGCGGCTCAAGGGCAGTGCGGTCACGAAAGAAGCAGCGAGAAGCACCTGAGTCCAGTGTGAAGGTGTGCAGTGCGGTAGTCGACGCAGTACCAAGGGGGGGAGACACACGAGCACCTAAAGCAGCAGCCTCACCAGCACCTGGGGTAGCCGACACGCGAGTACCTGAAGCGGCAGACGTACTGGCCCTAATGCCCGGGTCGGGCGGCACACACAAGTACTCAGCACCCTCTCCACTAGTAGACATCACATACATGGCAGATAGAATAGCATCAAAGTCTAGAGTATATATATCAATCCCCTTCTTCAGGAGATCAAGCTAGCGGGGCAGCTCAGTGGCCTGAGGGAACTGAACACGCCAAGCCTCGTCGAGACGAGAGAAGCAGCGCTGTGTGGCGTGCTGTCGTCCACACTGCTGACCAGTGCGGTTACCAGTGCGAATGACGTACGTGCAGCTAAGACCACCCCCACCCCCGTGCTGAGAGTACCACTCACGGACCTCCTGGGGCGAAGGAGTGTGCTGCTGGCCCTGGCCACCGCCAGCGCCTCCACGGCCACCACCACCGCTGCCACCTCCTCGACCACCCCAACCCGTGCCGCCGCCTCGTCCACCGCCACCCCAACCGCCGCCTCCACTCCTGCCATCGCCCCCGCCGCTGCCGCCACCACCCCCACCGCTACCACTCGCCCCTCTAGCCGAGCCACCACCCCCACTGCCTCCACCGCCCCCACCGCCGCCTCCTCCGCCGTCACCGCCACCACCCTTGCCCCCTTTACCCTTGCCGCTGCGGCGCCCGCTCGAGGCAGACGCAGCACCGACCTTCTCAGCACCGAGAAGGTCGACAGCAGCAGCAGAGGCGATAGAGGGAAGAAGGGGGGAAGGAGAACACCCCTCAAAGAACGGGGTACGGGGGTCGCCATGAGAGGCACCTACAGCGACTATGCTAGTCTCAGCTGCAAGTAGCTCCTTCTCGAGGAGGGCAATGGTGAGCTCAGTGGGGCAAGGAGCTAGGAAGTGGTCCTTGTCAGCACGCAGTGTGTCAGGGAGGCGGGTGACTAGGTGGTAGAGAGTGAGCCAGAGTGGAGGGGGGTGCGTGGCAAGGAACTCAGCAGGCATGGCGGCACGGAAGCGGGCCTCACTAGTACGGAGGTGCGTGATGAGGTCAGCGACTGTGTGAAAGGAGGACAGGTCGGGAAACAGGTAGGGGAGGAAGAGACGGCCTAGCGCGGCAGAGGCAGGTGAGGAGTAGCGAGCAACTACGGCTGTGTACAGTGCCTGTGGAGCCTTGTGCTGCCCAAAGTGCTCGCGTTCGTCTATTGGCAGGGAGTTGCAAATAGCGAAGCGAGCGTGGGCATCACGAGTCTGCCACTGTGAGCGAGCAGTGCTTTCAGCAGTAGCAGCAGGGGCAGTGACATGGCCTAGGGCGTGATCGTACAGTGAGATGTCATCCTTGGCTGTGAGCTGTAGGTAGAGGTGCAAGTCATCGAGCCAGGTGTCAAACTTCACAGGGCGGCCCTCAGCATCGAACACGAGAACCTGTGAGCTAGCCATAGGAACAGTAGAAATAGCAGCAGTAGCAGTAGGAGAAGCAGGTAGGACGAACCAGGTAGGGCAGGGCGGCGCGGCTCGGTTCAGGTCGGGGCGCGGCTCGGCTGGGTGGCGCGGCTCGGCTCAGGGCGCACGGCTCGGGTCGCGCAGCTCGGGTCACGGCGGGAACGGGCCGCCTGGGGCCTCCAGGTGGTGGGCACGGGTCGGCGAGGTCGGCGTGGGGCCGGTTGGGGCCCTAGAGGGGCGAGCGCGGGGCCGATCGGGGCCTGAGCGGGGCTGGCGCGGGGCCGACGGGGCCTGAGACGGGGCCAACGGGGCCTGAACGGGGCTAGCGCGGGGCCAAACGGGGCCGTGATGGGGCTAGCAGCGGGGCCGACGGGGCCTAAAACGGGGCCGACGGGGCCTGAAACGGGGCTAGCGCGGGCCGACGGGGCCTGAGAGGGGCTAGCGCGGGGCCAACGGGGCCTGAACGGGGCTAGCGTGGGGCCGATCGGGGCCTGAATGGGGCTAGCTCGGGGTCGACGGGGCCTGAAACGGGGCCGACGGGGCCTGAAACGAGGCTAGCGCGGGCCGACGGGGCCTGAAACGGGGCCGACGGGGCCTGAAACGGGGCTAGCGCGGGCCTACGGAGCCTGAAACGGGGCCGACAGGGCCTGAAACGGGGCTAGCGCGGGCCGACGGGGCCTGAAACGGGGCCGACGGGGCCTGAAACGGGGCCGACGGGGCCTGAAAACGGGGCTACCGCGGGCCGACGGGGCCTGAAACGGGGCCGACGGGGCCTGAAACGGGGCTAGCGCGGGCCGACGGGGCCTGAGAGGGACTAGCGCGGGGCTGACGGGGCCTGAGAGGGACTAGCGCGGGGCTGACGGGGCCTGAACGGGGCCGCTAGGGAGAGCGGGCGTGGGGCCGACGGGGCCTGAACGGGGCTAGCGCGGGGCCGTCAAGAGGGGCCTCTAGGGGCGTGACACTCCGAGGCGCCCTAGGGCACAGGTAGGTAGGTAGGTAGGTAGTTACGTAGTGGTGGGCCCTTAGAAAATTTCGGTCCTAGGAAGGACCGGCTCTATACCATGTTGGAATAACTGAACAGGAAAACATTACAAGTACCTAACCCTAGAATTGTGTACCCCCTATAGGCTAACCCACTGTAGCCTAAACTAACACAACATATATAATGTTTGACACTGACAGGGTGCCAGAGGGGGCTGCCAGGCACGGTAAGACAGTGGAGAAGCTAGCAAGGACAGGACCCCCAGAGGGGTCTGCCAGGGAGACTGCAACCGACCGACTGAGCGGTGTAAGAGTGGTGCGGTCTTGAAAGAAGGAGCGGGACGCACCCGAGTCCAGGGTGAAGGTGTGGAAGGTCTGAGTCGACGTAGTACCTGAGAGAGCAGACTCACCAGCACCTTGGGCAGCAGACGCACTGGCACCTGGGGCAGCAGACGTAGTGGCACCTAGGGCAGCAGACGCACTAGCACCTAGAGCAGCAGCCTCAATGCTCGGGTCAAGCGGTACACACAGGTAACAGTCACCCTCAACACTAGTAGTCACAGAATACATGGCAGCAAGGATAGCATCATAGTCAAGATCAAAGAGGAAAACCCCGCCCTAGACAGATCTCCCCAGCGAGGGATCTCTGACGCCTCGGGGAACTGGCGACGCCACGCGTCCGTCAGGCGACCGAAGTAGTGCTGGGTGGAGTGTGGGCCCCCGCACTGCTCATCAGCTCGGTCGCCGATACAGAGGACGTAAGTGCAGGGACCAAAACCCCCACCGCGCTGACGCGCAGTGTACCATTCACGAAGGTGCTGAGGGGGCAGGGTCACACCACTCTGCTGCTGTTGGCGCGGACCACCACCTGAGCCACTCCTCTGCGCAGAGCCGCGACCCGCTGCACCACCGCCGGCGCCGCCGCCACCGCCTCCGCCGCCTCCTCCACCTCTGCCTCCTCCGCCACCTCCTCCGCCTCTGCTCCCTCCGCCACCACCGCCGCTTCCGCCGCCTCCACTGCTGCCGCCGCCGCCGCCACCCCCGGCACCACTCCCACCACCACCACCACTCCCTCCACTGCCTCCACCACCACCTCCACCGCCCCCGCCAGCCCCCCCAGCGCCCTTGCCCCCCTTGCCCTTGCCGGTGCGGCGTCTCCCGCTCGGGGCAGACGCAGCGCCGACCGACTTGAAACCAACGAGGTCGGCCGCAGCAGCAGAGGCGACAGAGGGCAAGAGGGGGGAGGGAGAACACCCCTCAAGGATGGGGGTGCAAGGGTCACCACGAAAGGCTCCTATAGCGACTATAGTCTTCTCTGAATAGTCTTCTCTACTGCTAGGACGGCCTTCTCGAGGAGGTCAACGGTGAGATTGGTGGGGCAAACCGAGAGGAAGTGGTCCCTGACTACGCGGAGAGAGTCAGGGAGCCGAGTGATTATGTAGTAGAGGGTGATGTACATGGGGGGGGGGGGTTCTTGGCGCAGAACTCAGCAGGAAGCGCAGCGCGGTAGCGAGTGTCACTAGTGCGGAGGTGCGTAATGAGGTCAGCGACTGTAGGAAAGGCAGCAAGGTCAAGGAAGAGGTACGGTAGCATGAGGCGGCTCAGTGCAGTAGTGGCAGGGGAAGAGTAGCGTGCAACTACAGCGTCGTACAAGGTCTGAGCACTCTCGTACTGGCTAAAGTGTGCACGCTCAGTGGTCGGTAAGTGGCGGCGCACAGCAAGGCGAGCAGCAGCATCACGCGCGGCCCACTGTGAGCGAACAGTGGCGTCAGCATCAGCAGCAGGGGCAGGAGAGGCACCAGAAGTGAGGTCAAATAGGGAGAGACCGTCTGCCCTATCGCACTGTAGGAAAAGCTGCAGATCATCTACCCAGACCTCAAAGTCAGCTGCCCGACCCTCAGTGTCAAAGGTGAGAACACTAGGGGAGGCCATGACAGCAGTAGACAGGCAGTGAGTACAGTGGGGCAGGGCAGTGCAGTGGCAGAGGCGCTGCTCTTACCAGGCAAGTGGGGCGTTCCCGGGCAGGCCGACAGGCGGCAGCGCCTCGGCTGCGGTGCGACTCGGCGGCTCGGCGGCTCGGCTGCTGGGCGGCTCGGCGGTCGGGCGGCTCGGCGGTCGGGCGGCTCGGCTGCAGGGCGGCTCGGCTGCTCGGTGGCTCGGCTACTCGGCGGCTTAGCTGCTCGGCGGCTTGGCTGCTCGGCGGCTGGGCGGCTCGGCTGCTGGGCTGCTCGGCGGCTCGGGCGCTTAGCGGCTGAGCGGGAACGAGGCCACGGAAGGACGGCGACGTGGCCGCTGAAAGGGCGGCGACGGGCCGCTAAAGGGCGGCGACGGGGCCGCGGAAGGGCGGCGACGGGGCTGCGGAAGGGTGGCAACGGGGCCGCTGGAGGGCGGCGACAGGGCCGCGGAAGGGCGGCGTTGGGGCCGCGGAAGGGCGGCGACGGGGCCGCTGCAAGGGCGGGCGGCGAGGCTGCGGAAGGGCGGCGTCGGGGCCGCGGAAGGGCGGCGTCGGGGCCGCGGAAGGGCGGCGACGGGGCCGCTACAAGGGCGGGCGGCAAGGCCATGGAAGGGCGGCGACGGGGCCGCGGAAGGGTGGCAATGGGGCCGCTGAAAGGGCGGTGACGGTGTCAAATTATAACATTCTGTAGGCTATAGTGGGGTAGCCCATATGGGGTACACAGTGCTAGGGTTGCATATTTGTATCACTTCCATTCCTTAGTGCATCATTCTCGTTCTACTTTCCTCATGGTATCGAGCAGGTTCCCCTGTGGGAACTATGCCTAGGGCCCACCACATCGAGATTTTTGTTTCTTGCCCGAAGCGCACTCTGCCCGAGTCTTGCTCCGGGCTCTCACCTCGTCGAGCCGCCCTAGCGGCCCCTACGCCCTAGCGGTCCTCTCGCCCTAGCGGCCCCCTCCTCCCTTGGCGGCCCCGCTGCCCGTTAGTGCGGCCCCGCCGCCCGCATTGCGGCCCCGCCGCCCGTTAGTGCGGCACCGCCGCCCGTTAGTGCGGCACCGCCGCCCGCATTGCGGCCCCGCCGCCCGCATTGCGGCCCCGCCGCCCGCATTGCGGCCCCGCCGCCCTTCTTCGCGGCCCCTCCGTTCGTCTTCGCGGCCCCGCCGCCCGCATTGCGGCCCCGCCGCCCGTCTTCGCGGCCCCGCCGCCCTTCTGCTCAGCGGCCCCGCCGCCCTTCTGCTCAGCGGCCTCGCCGCCCTACTCAGCGGCCCCGCCGCCCTACTCAGTGGCCCCGCCGCCCTTCTACAGCGGCCTCGCCGCCCTACTCAGCGGCCCCGCCGCCCTTCTACAGCGCCCCCGACGCCCTACTCTGCGGCCCCGTCGCCCTTCTACAGCGGCCCCGCCGCCCTAATCAGCGGCCCCGCCGCCCTTCTCTTCCGGCCCCGCTACCCTACTCAGCGGCCCCGCCGCCCTAATCGACGGCCCTGCCGCCCTTCTCCTGCGGCCCCGCCGCTCTACTCAGCAGCCCCGCCGCCCGTCTGCTCCGGCCCCGCCGCCCTTCTCAGCGGCCCCGCCGCTCTCAACTCCTGCAGCGCCGCCCGAGTCGCCCGAGCCGCCTCGCCCAGCCAAGCCGCCGACCGCCGCGTCGCCCTGCACCAGCACAACCGAGCCGCCCAGCAGCAGCAGAGCAGCCGAGCCGTCCCGCCGCCGAGCCGCCCTGCCGCCGAGCCGCACTGCAGCCGAGCCGCCCGGCCGCCCACCAGCCGAGCAGCCGTGCAGCTGAGCCGCCCAGCAGCCGAGCCGCCGAGCCGCCCTCCCGCCGAGCCGCCCGAGCAGCCCTGTCCGGTGAGCACAGCCCCTCTGTCACTGCACTGCCCTTCCCCTACTGCTTGCACTGCTGGCCTACTGTTGTCATGGCTACCCCTAGTGTCCTCGCTTTTGACGCTGAGGGTCGAGCCATTGACTTTGAGGTCTGGGTCAACGACCTGCAACTGTTCTTACAGTGCGATAGGGCGGACGGCCTCTCTCTCTTTGACCTCACCTCTGGCGCCTCTCCTACCCCTACTACTGATGCTGACCCCACTGTTTGCTCCCAGTGGGCCACCCGCGATGCTGCTGCACGTCTTGCTGTGCGTCGCCACCTGCCTACCACTGAGCGCGCGCACTTTAGTCAGTACAAGAGTGCTCAGACCTTGTACGACGCTGTGGTTGCGCGCTACTCTTCCCCTGCCACTGCTGCACTGAGCCGCCTCATGCTACCGTACCTCTTCCCTGACCTTGTTGCCTTTCCCACAGTTGCTGACCTCATTACGCACCTCCGCACTAGTGACACTCGCTCCCGTGCTGCGCTTCCTGCTGAGTTCTGCGCCAAGAACCCCCCCCCCATGTACATCACTCTCTATCACATAGTCACCCGCCTCCCTGACTCCCTTCGCGTAATCAGGGACCACTTCCTCTCAGTCTGTCCCACCACTCTTACTGTTGACCTCCTAGAGAAGGCCCTCCTAGCAGCGGAGAAGAGCATAGTCGCTGTAGGAGCCGCTCGTGGTGACCCTCGCACCCCCATCTTTGAGGGGTGTTCCCCTTCCCCCCTGTTGACCTCTGTCGCCTCTACTGCTGCGGCCGGCCTAGTCGGTCTTGAGTCGGTCGGTGCGGCGTCTGCCCCTAGCGGGAGACGCCGCTCTGGCAAGGGCAAGGGGGGCAAGGGCGCGGGTGGAGCTAGCGCGGGTGGTGGAGGTGGCGGTGGAGGCGGCAGAGGGAGTGGGGGTGGCGGTGGGAGTGGTGGCGGGGGTGGTGGTGGTGGTGGCAGCAGCGAAGGCGGAGGCGGCGGCGGAGGCTGTAGCGGTGGGAGCGGAGGCGGCGGTGGTGGCGGAGGTGGAGGCGGCGGTGGCGGAGGAGGTGGAGCTGGTCGGGGTGGTGCCTCGCAGCAGAGCGGCTCTGGTGGTGGTCAGCGCCAGCAGCAGCAGCAGCAGCGTACTCGGGACATCCCCCCTCCTCAGCAGCTCCGTGAGTGGTACACGCAGCGTCAGCGTGGTGGGGGTTTTGGTCCGTGCACCTACGTCCTTTGCTCCGGCGACCGCGCGGGTGAGCAGTGTGGGGGTGCCCACCCCACCCAGCACTGCTTTGGCCGCCTGACGGACGCTTGGCGTCAGCAGTTCCCCGAGGCTAGTGATATCCCCCGCTGGGGAGAGCTCTCTAGGGCTGGTGTAGCTATCTATGATCTTGACTTTGATGCTATCCTTGCTGCCATGTATGCTGTGACTATTAGTGATGAGGGTGATTGTTACCGGTGTTTCCCGCCCGACCCGGGCATTGGTACTGCTGCGCTAGGTGCTCGTGATGCTGCTGCTCTAGGTGCCAGCGCGTCTGCGCCCTCAGGTACTGGTGAGGCTGCGCTCTCAGGTACTGTGCTGGCTTCGGTCTCCCTCACCTTCACACTTGACTCGGGGGCTTCTCGCTCCTTCTTTCGAGACCGCACCACACTCACGCTGGTCGGCCGGTTACAGTCTCCCTGGCTGACCCCTCTGGGGGTCCTGTCCTCTCTCACTTCTCCACTGTCCTCCCGTGTCCGGCTGCCCCCTTGGGCACCTTGTCTCGTCTTTACCTCCCCTCGTTCTCGACGAACTTGGTGAGTGGTGCTGACCTGCAGGATGCGGGGGTTCACCAGTTTACTCCTGCGAGTCAGCGGGTGACCCACTGCTCGGACGCCCGCACAGGCCGACACCTGGCCACGTTTTCGCGTCAGCCGGGGTCGAGCCTCTACACCCTGACCACTGGGTCTCCTCCTGTCCCTGCGTCTGGCCAGGTAGCTGCGTCGGGTCAGGTGTTTGCTGCAGCGTCCATGTCTGGTCCTGAGTCTGCTCCCTGCTCGTGTCGCCTCCTGTCTCACGAGACTCTCCTGTGGCACCACCGTCTTGGCCACCCCTCCTTGCCTCGTCTTCGAGGCATGGCTTCCCGTGTCCTTCACTCTGGTCTTCCCCAGTCCCCCCCTCCCCTTCCTTCTGGGCCTGGTCCTTCCTATGTCCCTTGTGTCGAGGGGCGGCTCCGGGCTGCCCCTCACTCCTCTCAGTTTCCCCTGACAGAGGCTTCACTGCAGACGCTTCACATGGACGTGTGGGGCCCAGCCCGCGTCCGTGGACAGGGTCACGAGCGCTACGAGAAAGTACGAACGAGAAGTGAAATGACTATGAACGAAGAGAGTACAAATAGGAAACCCTAATTGGGTTGTACCCCCTATGGGATACCCCACTATAGCCTACAGAAACAAGTAAGCTATATGTTCTGACACACCCCCATAGGCAAAGTGGGGGAGAACAAGGGGTCACAAGACCAGTCAAGCAAAGCAAAGCAAAGCTCAGGGTGGATCACAAAGTCACCACGCATTCCGAGCACAAGTTCAAAGGCCACAAGGCCAGTTCACATGCAAGATCATATATAGAGATATACAAGAGCAAGAGTATATATATATGTGAAGGTACAAGCAAGGTCAAGAGGAGAGCAAGTGAGGCAAGACAGGCACAAGACCCAACTGCGTGCAGCAACGCTGATGATCACAAGGCGCAAGTGCCTTGGTGAAGACATCAGCAGTGTTGGCCTCAGAGGCCACGTACGCAAGTCGCAGCTGTCCACGCTGCTGTAGCTCACGAGCAAGAAAGTAGCGAAGAGCAATGTGCTTCGTTCTGTGCTCCAGTCGCTGCTCTCGACACAAGGCCAGCATGGCCTTGTTGTCTACGTACAGGACTGGAGGAGAACGAGGCTGCTCTCCAAGGTCGGTCAGCAGGTAGGTGAGCCAGCGTAACTCCTGTGCAGCCATAGCCCCAGCGTAGATCTCAGCCTCACAACTGGAGCCGAGAACAGAAGACGAGCGGGTGGCCCGCCACGAGACAGAGCCGGAACCAAGGCTGAAGGTGTAACCCTGAGACGACCGCTGCGTAGCCTGGTCGTCAGCCCAAGAAGCGTCTGCGTGCCCAGTGAGGACCACTGGACTGCGCCCTCCAAGCACTAGTCCCATGCCCGACGTACTGCACAAGTAGCGCAACACCCTCTTCGCTGCAGCCATGTGCTCTGGTCGGTGTCTCCCAGGAGCAACAAAGCGTGCGAGAATGCTAAGAGGGTATGCGAGGTCAGGTCGTGTGCAGGTCATCAGGTACATGAGGCAGCCAACAAGCTCTGCAAACGGGCCACTCGACTCTACGGACTCATCCGAAGGCAGAGCTGAGAGCGAGTGGCGAGTAGGCAGAGGAGTGGCCTGAGGCGAGGAGTACGTGAAGCCGAAGCGCTGAAGGACCTGCTGCACCATGTGTGACTGAGTCAGGGTAATGGTGCGGCGTGCTCTGTCCCGGGTGATCTGCAAGCCAAGGTAGCTGCGCAGTTCACCCAGGTCAGTGCACGTGTGTCTCTTCTGCAGCTCGGACTTCACGTAGGCGAGTCCAGCAGTGTCAGCTGTGGCAAAGACCAAGTCGTCGACGTACACGAGGATGTAGAACGGCGGCAGAGAGGTGTCGGTGCGCAGAAACAGCGACGGGTCGGCAGTGGAAGGAGCAAACCCAAGTGCCGCGAGCGTAGTCCTCAGTGTGTCGTGCCACTCACGTGGCGCCTGGCGGAGACC